ATCCCTTGCATGTTGTGCCAGTTACAGATAATTTGAATGGATGCATGTCATGGTGATGTAAAATTCGGATATCTTTGTAAGTGCTGCAAGCCCTATTGTCTTCCTCTTCACGTTTGCTCGTATGTAGAAGTATGCCAAAACTGCGATGTCGTGAAGATGAAGGGGAACTGGACCATGATCCTAAAAGGCTACAGGTTTGTTTCAAGCAGTGTAATACGATTAGAATCGTTGGTGCGACTGGAAAGCGCTGCTTCTCCTGTATTTCGTCTTGTTTCCACATACAGTATAATCATTCCACGGTAACATTTATGAGTATAAGCTACCAATGCAAAAACTATACAATTATTGTATATTACTGCGTCGATAGCTTATATTCATGAATATTACTGTGAAATGATTATACTATTTCGATGTCCTTACAAAAGAGCATGGTTTGATAATAATTATCAAACTATGCTCTTTTGTAAGGACATCGACATAGTATGTCGCAACATGATTTGTCAAATTCGCATCTTGTTCTTATATTTTTTAAAAATTTACATTTTTCTAGAGTAAAATAAATGAAGTCATTTGTATTTCTCTAAACATCGCAGTAGAACTAATGCATCATATGCATATATTCGTGCAATGCTGGAAACATTTATTTTGGCCTGGATAAATAATAAACATCCAATATACAAATCAATGTTAAGAAAAAATAATCTTTAGTTACAATTATTATAAATAAACGACTCAAAACCAATTAAGATATTTCAAAAAATGAGCGGAAAGACAAATAAACATTGCTTCTACTTAAATACCAGAATTGATTGGTAAATAAGACATTTTTTTATAAAATTAGTTTGAAAATAATTTGAGCAGTGGAAAATAATGCCTTCTGGGAGGTCTTTTAAGGGTAACTGGCCCATATTCAGGCTTTAAAGACGTGGCCAGCCCGTCCGAGCAAGATGCAACCGAACTCCCAGTGTCAGGGAACGGAACCGCTTGGCCACTAATGGGCTGTCAAGACTCCTATAAATAAGCATTTCTTGGTAATCGTAGGCTTTACTTTTAATAAGATATTCAAATATAGCTGGATATTCCAAAGGTATTCTCTCATGTCATTATTCCACGATTTTATAGTACTAATTGATGAAAATAAATTAAAAATACAAATTTTGCATTAGACTTAATTCTTTGATATTCTGTGAATATTTTGGACTACTTTATGAATTAAACGGCGATATAAATATTTCCTGATAGATAATAGCAGTGGAATATTAGTAAAATTACCGAAGCCAATTTTGCCAATTATTTTCTAGAAAAAAAATTAAAAATAAGATTTAGGTTTTCTTAATTTTACTTTAAATTTTTATCAATTTTAAAAGAAATTTTCTCACCATGCATGAGCACGTTTTTTTTTACATTAGAAAAAATTAAAACTTGTATAAAAAAACGATTGAAAATATTCTATAATTTAATATACAAAAACCCTTACAATTACTAACAAAGTAGGAGTTACGAATGAATTTCTATTAGTAATTTCAAAATTAATTATATTCTCCATTCTATAGTTCTGCAGTTCCGTAGTTCTTGCAGTATCTTAATGGCGGCGCGACGGTGGCTCTCGCTACAGTACGGAAAAATACATAAACTTTCTCTGGAAACTTGTGGATAACAGAGGGAAAGTATGGTGATCGGTCAAAAAATAACCCGCAAGATTTTTACATTTTTGGACTCAGGGAGGATTTCAAACGTCTGGAAATACAAAAATATTCGAGGGTTTTTCTGTATGTATGGATGTGTGTGTATGGCACTATTCATCCTCATTGAAGCTTAATAACTCCTGTGATTTTTGTCGAACATTTCTGAAATTTTGAAGGGAGGTTTATGTATTAGGGGGTTGATCAAATTTTGATAGTTAAAGGTCGACTGGGTGGAGATAAAATGGGGTCGTCGTCATATCTCGAGTGGGGTCGGACTTAATGACGATTTTACTCGTTATTAGCATTTACAATTCTTTTTATAAAACCATCCCTACCCTTAAAATTAATCTTTTTGCCATTTTATAACAATTAATAGTGATGTAACAAATATTTGGTTACTATTCGGTATTCGGCCTATTTTTCGCTATTCGGTCGAATATCGAATACCTAAAAACAGAAGTAAGAAATAACAAAAACTCAGTAAATTAATCATTTTGGTATTTAGATTTAATGCTATCGGGTTAGTGTTGTTTGTATATTTATTTATAACTGGTAACATGCACAAAATAAAAAAGAAAATAATATTAGTCACACGTATTCACAATTTATAATTACAAAGATCAGCACACACACACACACACACACCTATTTGTTCGAGAATCGTTGCACACATCTGAGGGTCTGATCCTGTCTATCCTTTTTTTAAGCGCTCGTCTTTGCTCTTCGCTTTCTCTTTCCTCTATCGCTTTAGTCCACGTATGCCTATGCATACATCATAATACGCGCTCCGGATACTTTCAATTCGTCACTTTTCCGTCATGGATTTCCCATTTTATAATTACGTGACTCAAAGCCTGGTGATAACGGAGAAAAGAGACAGATAGGACGTCGGTATAAGTCACAGTTATGATTTCACAGATTCGAGACAGCTTGGTAGCCCGAACGGCCCCAGACTTTCGCTCGTGCACGCTAAGTGACTTTCATTACAAGCATTTAGCTTTCCGTTCCGAAGCCTATCACAACAATTGTTTGGCATTGACAACCGCGAATTTCGCGCGAATAAGCTGCCTCGAATTGTTCGATTATGTTATCAACTCAATTTAATATTTATTTTCATATTTTCACTTCGCAATCCTTCTCTGTTCTTTTTCCGTTATTTACACGTGTAGGTCATTTCATTGTTATCCACATTTGATATCATTTATCACATACAATACTGCCATGATGCTCTTGTCTGTCCGCTACAACTGTCAAGAATTAAAGCGATTGACGAAGCGTAGTGACAGCGGGCCAATAGAGAGCCGGGTCCTTGCCATAATGCGCTTTGCGCACCAATTTTCGTACGTGCGTTAATCAAGCCGAATAGTTTGGCCAAATATTCAGCTATTCGGCCACGCTCCTGTCCGAATATTCGGTATTCCGCCTGAGGCCGAATATACTATTTGTTGCAACACTAATAATTAACGATATAAAAAATATTTTAAATAAAATATCATAAGAGATGGCGCCACCAAAATTTTAAATCTCGCCGGGAAAGTTAAGCAACTCGTTGCTGGATTTTTATGATTGCTTTACTAAAAAATTACGTACATTGTGTAAATATATATTGTGTTTATATTAATCAAATAATCACACATAAACGGTCTTTATTATAATAAACAAAACTTTTCATGTACTAGTTTGTTTTGTATTATTCCATTTATTTTTCACTTTTAATTTCTAAATTTATATTATGTTAAAAAAACTGACATTTATTTTAGTTACTCTTAGATAAACCATAGTCATTAATATTAAATCATTAAGGCTATTAAAAAGCAATCAAGTTTTTTTTAATTTAGAAAAATCAATTTCAAGTTAGATTTTTCAAAATTTTTTAAATCTAATATTTTCAGACTTAATATGATAAGTATAACTATAATTAATACTTTAAACAAGTTTTTTTTCCTAACTCGATTACATTATGTAGTTGAATTTTAAGAAAGTTTTATAGTTTATTTTTATAAGTCTTTTCACATGACATATTACGTTTGTTCTACGCTATAAAACGTACCACATTAAATTTACATCGAATGTAACACATTTTTTTCATATATTTTTCGGCCTTAGAGTCCGGGTGCATCTTAAACTGGAAGTGCTCCTTGTTATTATTAAAAGTCTCTATCTTAAAGAAAATTTTATAGTATTTCTTGATTTACATATATATATATATATATTTGTTAATTATACTTTATTTTAAATACATCATTAACGCTTTTATTTTTTAACTCTTTCAAGTAGATTTACTTCTAATTATAATCTAATTATCATATTTACTAAAAATCCCATCTTAAAAGTCGTGGTGCATCTTAAATTCGAAACATTCTTCAAAGAGAATAAATTTGAGATAATTTTTCTCTTAAGTTTAAAGTATAGTTTTATAACTTTCTAAGTCTACATATAATGAAAATTTTATTGCATTTCCTATTTATATTTTCTGCCAACTATGTTATATTTTAAATACATTAGTATCGTTGTTACTTTTTAATATATTCTTTTAAATTATATTTACTTTAATTATCATCAAAATTTCATGAAAACTTTTTAAAAGCGTCTTAAATTAGAAATAATACAGTTTTTTTTTTTTTTTTAAACTGAGATACGAGACACGAGTATTAGGATAAATGAGAAAATATAACATTAAAACAAATTAATATTTTAATATTAAGTGCCCCATTTGTGTTGTCTTGTAATTAAATTCACCTATTTTTTAATTTAGTTTTTTTATTTTATAACTTTACTAATTAAATTTAAATTTATGCTTATTTAGTCCAATGTAAGATAGCTTCAAACCTTTTATTTTTTTATGGTTTATTACTTGAACAGCTAAGTTTTCTGAATGTAAAACATAGAAAGTGATATTATTATTAATTATCTTAGCTTTCACTAACGCTTCTAAAAATATTAATTCGATAATTCAATATGCTGTACAGTACAGGAACCATTTTCATATCATTAAAGGACTAAATAAAACTAAATAATCATATATAGTACAGATTTAATACAATCCTTTCAAATAATATTTAAATATTATATTTTAAATTGAAGATCACTTATTCAATAATAAAAAAATTTAGTCTTAAATCGCTTAAAAACAGTTATAAAAACGTTCAAGACTTTCCATAATGAATTCTTTTTATTCCAAATTACATAAGTTTGATATGAAGTTAAATTCAAGTTTACATGAAAACGATATTACGATATTAAATTTATTTTATTATTTTATTACGTTCTACAAATGACAATTATGCTTACTCTTTCCCTTAAAGTTTATCTTACCTTTAAGTCTATTTACAATTCTTCAACTCTCGAACTCATTATAGAAGCACAAATAGCCTAAAAGAAAATATAAAAGTGAAGTTTAAGCCTATCTCTGTACTAAAGTGCTAATTTATACTGACAAATTTTAAATTAATTGCATAATATCATGAAAGATATTTTAAAATATGACAGAAATATTATTATTTAGTATAAGTAGATAAGTAGAAATTGTAATGTAATTAAAATTGTTAAAACTTGTTTAAAAAATAAATAGATCGAAAAAAAAAATTAAATATCATTTTCAAATATTTGTGAGTTTGTAATTCTCGAGAATGACATTTTCAATTAGTAAAGAAATGTCATTCTCGACGTTCTGTTTTCGTTCTGCTTTAAGAAATTTTGTTCATTAAGTTGACACATAATTAGACCATTTTTATGAAGAGGAAACTTATGAAAAATAATAGATTGAAAAATCATAAAATATGCATAACTTACTTATTAAAATGTATACTTTTTGTATTGAAAAATTTTATAAACGAGAATCTTTTTAAATTCTGTAATATTATCTAAGGAAAACCTGGAGGGTCAATTCGATTACAATACTGAAATTTTGTTCATTAAGTTGACACATAATTAGACCATTTTTATGAAGAGGAAACTTATGAAAAATAATAGATTGAAAAATCATAAAATATGCATAACTTACTTATTAAAATGTATACTTTTTACATGAACTTTTTTCATTATATTTATATTATATAAAATAAATTCATAGTTCAATGCCATAAAAAAGAAAATAACTGTAATAACTGAAGTAAATGATATCTTGTTGACATTTTAAGTCAAATATTCAAACTGATTTTCATTATATTTATATTAATACATACATAAGTCTTTAAACTGTGTTATAAGACTTATAACAGCTGGGGTAGTAAAACTAAAATCAAAAGAAAGTTCAACACAGTTTTACCTTTATACAGGCAAGTGAATGATAGTAAATTTTAAGATAATGAATTTTTCGATTATCACAAAAATTTCTAAGAATATTAACGCGTAAATATTTTTTTATAACTTTTTAAATTCAATGTTAGATTTTATAATTATCTGTTATAGATTTCGTAATTATACTGCATTTAGAATTAATTATATATTAATTATAAATTTATGTCAAATTAGAGTTTATAATTCGCTTAAATTAATTATAAAGTAAATTATAGATTACATAATTATGCCACGTTATTAAGTAGTATTAATAAAATAAATGTTTATACATAACATATCATTAAAGACAATTTTAATTAATAAACGTCAACTAATGCAATATTTTATTGTATAAAAGCATGCGTGTTTGCTATTAAAATTATATATTATTAAAAATATAAATATCTGCTCAGGTGTATACAAAGCTGTATATTATAATTTTACAAATTTGTTCTATTGTTGTTGGAGTTATTGTATTGTGATTTTTCCATTATAATTTTTACAGTAGTTAAGACAAACTTCAAAATCTAGTGAAAAAGCTTTAGAAATCAATTCGAAACAGCTATTTAAGCGTTTCTCTATTATTTTCAGACTGATTTAACTGTTTATTATTATTACTATTATTTTTGGAAAACAATATTATTTGTTAAATAAATAATTTTTACAGCTAGAATAAATACTTCACTAACTAAAAGTTTAATTAAACACTCTTATAGGCTTACATTGTCTGTACGCAATAATAATAGATTTTACTTGAAAGTTGTAACATCAAAATATAAAGATGATGGGTCAGGATCACTTGAAATACCTGTACCGTAATATCCTACTAGTAAAAACATCTTGTTTCTCATTTTATACAGGTACTGGTATTGTGAAATCTTAAATAAAAATTGATCAGTCAAATTAAAAAGATAAAATAAAGGTAAAAAATGTTTATTAATCTATATAAAATAAAGTAGCAGCTACAGGAAAAATAAATTCATAGTTCAATGCCATAAAAAAGAAAATAACTGTAATAACTGAAGTAAATGATATCTTGTTGACATTTTAAGTCAAATATTCAAACTGATTTTCATTATATTTATATTAATATATACATAGCATTCTTACCATGCATAATTTGCCAAAGTTCTTAATATTATCCTTATATAAGTCAATTTTCAATTTTATAATACAGCAATATTAGAAAAGAGATAGAAAACAATTAATTTTTAATACAGGGTGTATCAGAATGACGTTTTAAAAATTTGGGCGATTGTAGAGGATGAAATTTTGAACATTTTGATATAAGGAACCTATAGCCGGAAATTTGAACTAAAGTGTCTACAGGGGTAGGAAGTGCTTGACCGGCCTTTACTTTGGTAGCTACCCTTCTGTCCAATGACGTCATTTTATTGCTGCGGATGGAAGACTGTAAACACACAACTACAGTTGTCTAACTGAGCCTGTGTACAGGACGTTATATAGGCCTACTTAGTGCTTGTCGACCTTCAGGTCACCCCTTGCTTCCACTGGCGCTGTGCTGTAAACACACAGCTAGTCAACGTGAGTCCTTTCTGTACGCAACACTGTAGGAACAGTTCATAAGCTTACGGAGCGCATCGTTACAGCATTTAATACCATCAGAGGGAAGCGTGGCATCTTACAGAGGGTAGGACAAAACGTGGTTCGTCGTTGCACATTATATAACGAAGTTAGTGGTTGTCACATTGAACATTTACTATAAAGTAGTGCAGCCACTGATTCGATGTACAGTTTAATTAATTGTACTCTACTGTTTTATCAATAAAACTTGTCATAAATACTGTATTCTGCTGTTTCGTTCAGCATACCGACCACATAGAACGTGCAAAGTGCTGTAGAAACTTTATATCTTATTTCCGGCTATAGGTTTTTTATATCAAAACGTTCAAAATTTCATCCTCTACAATTCCCCAAATTTTTAAAACATCATTCTGATACACCCTGTATATATCACACACCTACAAACACAAAAACATGCACACATACAGGATGTTTCACGTAAAGTGTTACAAGTTAATAACTCGGAAATATGCTTTTAATTTTTAAAAAATGATAAGAATAAAAATTAATATTTTCGAGAATAATTTTTAATGCTGTAAAAACAAAACATAACCTCTCCTCTGGGTGAGACAGAGTCAACTTCCAAATCTCAAATTGAATAATTCCAATTTTTTCATATTTATGGATTTTATATTAAAAATATTAAGCTTTTATTGTGAACATGATGTAGCTCATATAGCTTAGATATAGATATATGATGTAGCTGATATAACTTAGATGTAGATTACTTTCAAATGAATAATTTAATTTTTTAATATAATTTGTTATTAAGTTGTTACAAAAAGATTGTACCTTATTTTTGGAACATGCCTTTAATCTATACTAATATTATAAAGAGGTAATGTTTGTAAGTTTGGATATAGGAGGTAACCTCCGAAACTACTAATCCGATTTCAAAAATTCTTTCACCGATATTTAGAATGGACCTTCAGGGTAGACATTGGCTGTATATTATTCCGTTAAACATTCATATAAATTAAAAGATATCGTCTAGGTAAGCGTTATATTTTTGGGTCAGTGGGTGGCGAGGGGCAAAACGCGTACGTATACGAGGTAGGTAACCACGCGACTGCGCCGCGTGGTCGGTGAGATACGCAGTGCACGTGTCTGAACTTGTAGTATATAAATTTATTCGAACTCTTAGTCTTAATGTTCGATTTTATGTTCGAATTTATATTTATGAATGATTCGAGAAGATCCAACTTATTTTTCGAATTTAGTAAACTAGAAGAAGAACCCAGAAGGGGTTACGAAAACGTCTGTTATTTATCACTTAGTGATACTACGCACTGGTAGTGGTTGCTGTGAATCTTAATTATCGTTATCCCAGTGTGGTAAGCAGATATCTAAAAATTTTCTAATTAGTCTCGGAGGAGCGGGACCTAATTCTTGCCCTCGGTGAAAACGGGTAAGATCGTCTATAATCTAATGATCTTAATCTTTGCTCTCGTTTTTGTTCGAACAACGCCGGGCTCATCTGCTAGTATTATATAAATTTGAAGAAACAAATATAATACCTGTTGTTTTTTAATTGTAATGAAAATTAAACGACAACAAAATATATGGAAAATATAAAATTGAAAAATTAAATAGTCATTAAATTATTAATTAATAGGCTACATTTTTTTCTAAGTACTGTATCAAGATTTTAATATCTATATTGAAATTTACATATCATTAATAAATTTTTGATTAGCTTAAAGAAAGAAAGCTTAAAGACAAACACAAACACATACACAAACTGTGTTTGTGTGTGTACAATATCAACTTCAAAATACAGATCGTTTGATATATTTTGACTGGGCAATGCACCGTACTCGGCTGCGGCTCTGGAATTTTTAAAAACCCCTTTTTTAGTAACACAGAAATCTTGTCACAGAGTCGTCAAACAATCCATTCCGTCCACTAAGTAAGTGAATTAGTCACTGATACTGTGTATTTTTATAACCCGGCCAAGATTCGTGAAACGAGTTGTATATATTTATTGTATGTAGCCTATATACTAGGGTTTCTAAAACGGGATCCTGGTTGTTTTTTAACCAGGAAAATATCTTGGGAAATTCTTCTCATTCCAGGAAATCCCGCAAATTTCTTAAAAGTTCACTTTTTTCTTATTTTGTGTTAAGGTTGAGGAAATATTGCAAATAGAAAGTATAGGCCTAATTAACCCGTAAATTGTCAGAATACATTTGTATATTAATTTTAAACCTACTTATTAGTTTTTTAAATCTTTGCTCGTTATGGAATGTCACAAATGGCCAGTAATCAATATGTAGCTTATTTGTGGCAGGACTCTGAAAATTCTGTACTTGTAATATCTGTAATATCTGTAATATCTGGAATAATTGTGCTAATGCTGTATTAATTTTTAACCATGCCCAGTAGCTTCAATAACTGCGTAACGCCAGATTGTAAAGCCAGAAAGCAATTTGCACACAAATTGGGCAAGGATACAAACGAGTACGAAGTCTGCAGGTATGAAGTTTTTCTTCATAAACCTGATTATTAAAGCCAAACGAATTGCCGAATTATCGAGATATAAGCTTGATTCCGCTATTAAAGCAGCCGAGGTAGACAAATCAAGAATACTAGAGAGCAAAAAAAGTACTACAATCTCGAAAACGAACTAGAAATCTTCCAGGCTACCGGTAAAAAAACACATAACATCTGTCTTCTCTTAAATGCATTAAATACGATTCTATTCACATCAATTGAATCGGAAAGGGTATTCTCGGTAGCAGGACTTTTCATTACTAAAATAAGAAGCAGATAGTGATCGGAGTATTGACCATTTCTGCTTTTTAAAATCTTATAAAAATTTACAATATTTTGTATTATGTTTCATTTAAAAAAAAAAAACAAAAATTACCCTTTAAGTTAGAAGTTTGATCTAAGTTTTTTTTCTTTTTTTAATTTTCAACTTAATTCAAAGCATTTTATTTTTGTATGCAGTTTCCAGCAAACTTTAATAAATTATTTCTATTTGTGAGAATTTACGTAATTCAAAGATAATTTTTAGTATATATCTTACACAGCATTATTAATATGATTTTGGAGGTTGCAGAACGTATTAAATTACTTTAAAAATGAAAAATAACTATATCATTTGATTTCAAAATATTGAATATTTTTTATATCTTAAAAATAGTTAATTCTATCCCGGGATTTCCCAGAATACAGGGAAATAGTTCAATTTTTTCCTAAAATCTTGGGACAAGCAAAATACCGGGAAATGAGAAACCCCTGCTACATACTGGAAAATCGATTATGGGACCAAAGATCTTTAGGATAAAGGAAATTTCGGATAATCCAAAAACTTGTTTTTTTTTTGTGTTTTGGGTACATCAAGCATTGTAATTTAATTTTATGAACTTTAATTACTGTATTTAAAAGTAAATTAATTCACTCAAAATCTAATGTAATGTTACGTATATGTATGATCTAGTTCATCTAGTGTATGATCTAGTTTCGAGTCTATAATCGACAGATGACGTAGCAATTTCCAGTTACATAGAGTTTTGTCTCTGCGTATTATACTGTGTGACATGTACTGTATAACGCTACACAATTTTTTTTTTAAACCGTTTCGGATAATCGAGTTTCTCCTACATACTGTATATCTTCATTAACTGCCAATTGCATCGCTGAAAGCGATTGAATCAAGAATAATAATATTCAGCTGTTCCAAGCCTGTTTTAACCATTTTTAATCTTAAGAAAACATTTCTCTCGGTTAACTGAATTTTGGTCACTCTATATATACGAACTTTACAGTCTCTAAATTATATTTAAATAATACGCTTAATTATGTTATTCAAACAAGAAGCATTTTATACTATGCCTAATTATCTTTAAGCATTGTCATTTTTTGAACTCCTAAAAACGAGGTAACGAATTTTTTAAAAAATCTTAAAACTTTTTCTTTTAAAAGTGAATTTGTTATCAATTTAAAAAATTAATACTTTCAGGACATCATAAAATATTTGCATAACAACGACAATTAAAAGTAATAGTTACCAGCATATTTTACTTAGATAATGCCCACATCAGGTCGCTCGTAAAGCTGATTCAGAGTATTTACGATCTGAAAGTATAAAATTACTTTAAATATATCATAAAACATCTAAATTAATCATCATACAAAAGAATAATTGTGTTACGTTATCATTTATGATCATTAATGAGCTACTTATAATTATAGACTATACAGAGTGATTATGAAGTTCTTGTGCAATTTTAAATTCAAATAAATTTGGATTTACGCTTGATACACTACAATTTAATGCACTGTATCAAACTTTAAATACAGTGTAAACATAAAAGCTTAATTTATAAATATTTTATGTCAATTTTTTTATCAATTTATCAATTATTATCAATTTTTTGTATTATCTTTCAAAGTATTATCAATTTTTTGTCAATTAATTTTATTTTCAGATCCTTTAATCAATTGAAAACGACAACAGTAAGAAAAAAGGATTAACTGGATGTTATGGCTTTTAGAACAGTGCGAGATGCAATAAAACTTTGAATTAAGTTTTTATATACCGTTTACAGCATGTTTCTATTATGTAGCCTACACCAAAAGTTATTAAAGTTATGTTGTTTTATCATCATCCAGTATGTCGTACGTGATGGATTACGAAGATTTTGAAATATATTAAATATGGTGAATACAATAAACAGTTACACATGAACGGATACGCAAATTTCATCTCTAAATATGCAAATAGATACTTAAAACTTTATTAATTAATTAAAATCTTACCCTTATTTTCGTATAAATAAACCTTTCTTCATTTATTTACAACTCGGTTGACAGAAATTTGTTAATATATTTCTGAATTTACTGTTAGATTATAACTTAACATGAAGCTTTTATATGTTATAGATTTCTAAACGCACATGGTTGATGCAATATTTTTGTCTACATCTTGTATGTTATCAATAATAATAATAAGAATCACACCATTCATATTAGCCAAGACTAAAAGTGCAATGCTATATATGATAATAGTGTTTGCATTACTTAAAAAATCAAGCAATGAGTTGCGTAACTTTTCTGGCCAAACTTTAAAATTGCATGTGGGGCCATCTGTTATGAGATTTTATTTTAAAAACTTTTTAAGTCATTAATTATTATAAAATGGCAACATTTTAATTTTGAAAGTACAGATGGCTTTTAAAAAGAGAAAATTGTGTATGCTAATAATGAGTAAAATCTTCATTAAGTCCGACCCCACTCGAGATATGACACATGACCCCCTTTCCCGCTTTCCCCCTTAACCTTTAACCACCAAATTTTAGTAGTATCAATCTCCTAATACACAAACTTCCTTGCAAAACTTTAGAAAATTTCGACAAAAGGCACAGGAGTTATTAAGCTTCAAAGTGGGTGAACAAAATCGTGCTCTCCACACAAATACAAACTAACATCCATACATAGAAGGGGAAAAAAATTATTTTTTTATTTGTCGACGTTTCAAGGTCTCCTAAGTACAAAAATGCTCTTGGGGGCCATTTTTTGAGTGATCGCGACACTTTCCTTTTGTTACGTATAACAGCCGGAAAAATAAAACTGAAAACCATTTTCCGTTTTCCGTTTTCATCTCATTAAAGCATGTTTAATTCTTACGTTTATAGTTCTTATATGCGTGCAGAATATGTAAATTAAACTCTTCTGGTTCTTGAGTGGACAGAGATATTCACCAGAGATGATATAGAGGGAATTCGGCCGGAGTTGAATATAGAACTGTTCAAGATTGAAATTGAGTTTGGTAAAAAGATTGCTGTTGCTGGGTGGAAATTGTAGAACAATGTTGTAGACTTTATGGATTATAGACTGTTTTCAAAGTCAAGAGATATGTTAATATGGTTGTTTGCTAGTAAATTAACATTTATGATCCAAGATAATTCATCATAAAATACCCTTAGGTATAATTCATTCTGCTTCAGCATGTTGTCTAGTTGTGTACGCCAGTTGTTTTTAATAAATTTTGGTTTGTTATACTATATAGTAAGATTTCCCAAATTACCCAACAGTAGCTTGAGCGTTCCGCAGAGGGGAGAAAACAGAATTTGTTCCTCCCTGAGATCGAGAAAAAATTCTACAAATTATAATCGTAAAAGTGATTGAGATACGTAACCTTAACCCTCTACAATGGAACAGCTTTTCTGTCTTTATGTATTTTATAATCTACTTGTGAAGAAAGCCCCCCTCAAATTAAATAAAAATTTATTCATATAATTACTTGTTACCAAGTTTTACCACCCTGGAAAATTTTCTGCGGACGCCCATGTATAGCAGTCTGATGACTACATCAGACTGCTACATCAGTATATTATATAATCCATGATTTATTTATGGCCTGTTTATTCATGGAAATTACACTTATCTAAATATATAAAATTGCTTGTCCTCACTGACTGACTGACTGATTCATCATCGCTCAGAGCAAACCGCTGAACATAAAGTGGTGAAATTTGGTACACAGTTAGGGTACGTCATGGAAACGCGCACTAAGAAGGGATTTTTCGAAATTCCCCCGCGGGGGGAGAGGGAGAGCATTAAGACTTAACCGGAAGAACGGCTTCTACTGTATTATTTTAGATGCGATTTTTTGTTTTTATCTGCAATAAGTTATTACAGGATGCAATATATATTTATAGAGGAGCGATAAACTTGTATATATGCCGAGTTTATTTCCTTTAACTGAAAAAATTTTTCTTAGTTGTTTAATATATATTAATATATACATAATATATAAATAAATATTTAATCAAGCATGAAGAATAAAATGATTAAATCAGAATGTGATATAATAAAATAAATTAACCCCTGGTGGTATTGCTCATTCGGATGTATCACGTTATTTTGTTGCCTTTTAAATATAAAAGCACTTTAACCGATAATGGATAGATAAATCGGTTATATCGCACCATCTGATATATTGCTTATTTGGTTTATCTCCCCACATGCGCGATATAACGAGGGGTTATTGTATTAAGCTTAGATTACGTATTTCACTCGCTTTTTCCACTGTCCTAAAATCTTTTCTCCATTAAAACAGTTTCACTTGTTATTTATTTAAATTAATAAGTAATCCTATTTTAATGATTTAACTATTTTTTCTCCAGAAAATCTTGTTTTTTAACATTTCTATTTTGATTCGGTGGATTAAAGAAAGGCTGATTCTATAACATTAAAGCGATATACATTTCAAGATATTCATATAAGATATTTGATTTGTTTGAAAAATAAAATAACGAGACGTGACACAAAAATATTACGAATGTAGAAGAATTAATGATGACGTCTGCATGGACTAGAACTTTGAGGGGCATTAGTGACTTCGTTTGTTACGTCACTATACATTATTTTATTTTTCAAACAAACCAAATACTGTAGTTTACGAAAATGTAGAAAGGTACTATCGAAAGATCATTTTCAAAAATTATCTAACAATTAGAGGTCGCAATAATGCTTAGTTTCGTTATCACACACTTATCAGCATTATACGTCACTTAAAATATTAAATCAGATTTTTTTAGATTATTTAGTTAGTATCAGTTTTAACTGATATTTTCTTACAAAAAACATTCAATTGAAAAAGAGTTGAATGGAAATAATATTCTGGAAAATGGAATAAATAGTCGTGATATTTTTAAATCCACCTTAGATCGAAAAGTATAAAATCGATTTAAGGAACCAATCGAAGTAAAAATTCAATAAGTCTACGTAAACTAAACAACGTTCCAGCCAAATGACTCTAATAGATTTAAGATTTGGTTAATTATGAATATTTCTAAATTGGATATCGTTAGATCAACTATAAATATTAATGGTTAAATGCTTTACTTGAATGATAGGTTAATGCTGCTTAATCTGTTCTCAAATAAAAGATCTAAAACTCTTATCAATAAAATGTGTTTGCTCGAGTAGAGACAAAGTCATGTTATTTGTAATTACTGTATTATTTTTTCCTTTGTTAGCTTTTCCTGAACATTTATATAACGATGTAAGTACATTAAGTATATTAATGTATTTATATAACGATGTAAGTACATTAAGTGTATACATTAATGGGTGAATCATTATATTATTCTCACATTAATTAGATCAAAATATTTAAATTTCAAATTAAAAATTGTCTTTAATATAATAAAATCGCATACTTTATTTTATGCAGAGAAATTTTCAGACATCAACTTTAAATAGATATAATTCTTTATAAATCCAGCCATAAAGCTGTTTACAATACAGATTTTTAAATAATTAAATTTTAAATAGGCCTATTCAAACATTCAAAATATACATATTATTTTTAAAAAATAGTATTTGAATTATGTATATTTACAATATATTATAAATAGTATTTATCTATCATTTAATGTAAATTTTTTTCTTATTAAATTAATTAATTAAACAATACAAAGTAATGCAGAACTAATTAAGTATCCTAACATCTTTGTGTACTTAACGTCACTATATTGATATTTTGTCGTCAGTTAATAGAAAATAACGATCAGTTAATTAAAATTATCAATTTAAATAATAAGTTTTGGCTCGTGAATACAAAAAATGCTTCCATTTTATTGTTATATATTAATAATTATACAATTACTTTATGATAGCAGAATTTTTTAATTAAATATTTTTATAAGCTTATAGAGAGGTCCAAAAGTCAGTCAACTGCGGTATATTTTAAGGTTATTTTAAAAACTGTTAAAGTAGGTTTGGAACAGCTGCGTGTTATTAGAAATTAATTTCTCGATAAATTTATTTTGGATCATCATGTATATACGCATCTTAAATATATATATTCATTTACTTGAAAATTAACATTTTTCTTTTGTCATTTAATTAGATTCATTATCTATAAAACTAAAACTAAATAATTAAGATATTTATCAAATTATCATCGGAGATTGATGTAACACACATTATTCTATGCTAGATTTAAGACTTTAAATCACTATCATTAGGATTTCATTCAATTATAACATTGTAAAAAAGGAATAGTTATTGTGAATTAGGTATAAATTTAACAGTGAATATTTAGAAAATTATCTTCGATAATATAT